CAAGAATGATCAGCCTCACACAACCTGATCCAATGAATATCTAAGATACGTCAAACAAGAATGATCAGCCTCACACAACCTGATCCAATGAATATCTAAGATACGTCAAACAAGAATGATCAGCCTCACACAACTTGATCCAATGAATATCTAAGATACGTCAAACAAGAATGATCAGCCTCACACAACCTGATCCAATGAATATCTAAGATACGTCAAACAAGAATGCCCACATATTCAAGTAGATTCTATAAGAGAACATTCTTGGTTGAATAGTTTTAAATATTCAATAAATCTGATTTTGTAAGACTGAGAATTATTTTTTGAGTTATTACAGATTTTTATTTAAATAGATTTTATAAAAGCTAACATTCTTTTTTGAGCAATTTATGACATTCATATAAGTAGATTATATAAGACCTCTACTGTTACCTCAGTAAAATCCATCGTACACATTCAAGTACATTACTGATAATTGAATAACGTTCATATACAATCAAATGCATTACTGGTAACTGAGTGAAGTTCATATTACACAATCAAGTACTCTACTGTTACCTGATTAAAATCCATCTTACACAATCAAGTACTCTACTGTAACCTGAGTAAAATCCATCATATACATTGAAGTATTTATTTCACACTTAAAAAAATACATTTTCTCCAAACAGCTATAGATGATTCAAATTGTTCACTGAGGAGTTGTTACAATATATTTAGACGCATTTCTGGATTATGAGTAAACATAAAAATACGTTCACTTTGTCGAATTTTCGTGTTTTCTTTTGTGTGGGGGGAGGTTTTGTTTTTTGTTTAAAGAGAATACTCGTTTTCATAAAAATATATTTTTTTGCAACAAAAATTTTGCAAGAATAATTTCTTAAGTAAAAATTTCATATTCCATACAGTTGCTATTCAATCGATCCTTTGCTTGTCTGTCTCATCCAGGTAATAAGCCTTATCTCACCGTCCTCGAGTTGACTATATTAAACGGTACTCTAGTCTGTCTTGAAACCTGTCATGTGGTTTAATTCCTTTCACAAAACGGCTGATAACTAGATTACGGTGAAAGAAGCCTTCAAAGGATTTGTAATATTCTACCAACTAACATGACTGAAATAAACAAGATAATCCAATAGTAGGTTTGTCACAGGCACTACTAGCATTATAATTTCTATATCTAAAGAAAATAAACATTTCTTAGATTCATATCTGAAGAAAAACGTACGAATTATTTCATTCTCGTTATTTTCTTTTTATAAGTAGTCTTACATATTCAATTGAAGGCCATCTCACGTTTTCACCCTCTGGGATCTGGCTATATTAAAAGCGAAATCATAAAGATATAAACGTAAATAACAATGGACTACAAAGACAATAGTTATATTCAGGCGTCACGCAAATTATAGCACTATGTCTTCTGGGTAAAATACAAGATAAATGAGTAAGGAGTTTACACATATAATTATACACAGTCACTTAAAAGCGAGGTGAATGGACCAAATTTCGTGTATTGATCTCAAGCACGTATTAAAAATATATTTTTGGCCTGTAATAAGATTTATTTTTAAACTAAATAATGGAATTATAAGTTTGTTAGTAACACAATAAGGTGCTTTTACTCACACATTTGGTTCTTACCAAAAATTAAGTAGTTGGCGTATCCTATTGGTTAACGTGTCGATCTGCAGATCGAAAAGTCAGTGGTTCGAGCTATGACATGCCACTGATCATGCTTCACAATTTCAGCTGTAGAGGTGTTATAACTGTGAAAGTCAATCACACTATTCGGTTAGAGTAGCCGCATTCTGGACTGCGGTCAGCAGTTCTAAATTAGGAATAACCATGCCTGAACCTAAGAGTCTGACCTAGCCGCTTAGCCTAGGTGTTGCATAATATGTTATTGAGTTTGTAAGTACCAGTACTAAAAAATAAGACAATCCTGTGCTTATCAGTTATGTACTATAAACAGAGTTCACATTCCTTCAAGATTTACCCACTTATCTGTTTCTTCTATTCTCCGGAATATTTTAACATCTCTGAATTAGAACAGTTTCTGGTTTGTATTGCACTCGGTGTCTGACGTAACAAACATTTTCATAACTGCTAACCAACCTTCCATGAAATGTTTTATACAGCCATGAAGTTTTACGCACCACATACATTAGAAAATTGAAGAAACCTTTCTCTGTATACATTAATATGCAGAACAAATTTAATTTCTTTCGGAAACATTACCATTATCATAGTTTCTTTTTTTTTTCTAGAAAATAGAATTGTCAATTTATACATCGACGGAATCTACTGACACTTTGCTTTGATATATTTCTATATTTAATGCAAGTTATAATTATTTTTATGTATTTATTTGCCTTGTTCAATATATAATACTCTATTCAAGCAGTAAATGTTCTCTGTAAAAGTATTGTTCCGACTAGTCGGCTTCTAATTTACCAAAACATTTTGAAATATATATATATTTGTATTTGTTTTCGTTGTGCACTTCTGATCATCGCGGGGAATAGAACCCCGGATTTATGCTTTTTAAGTATGTAAATTTAGCGCTGACCCACTGGGAGGTCTGAAAAGTACATTAAAACATGGAGTGCTGTTTATTATTAATCTAAGTGGTGACTATTATCCACATGTATATATGTAAGTCGGACTAACTGGCTCGATCATCAACAGGAATTACTAATTATCCGCGTCATGTGACAGTTTTGTAGGAAAATAA